CCCCCCCCACCAAGGCCGCGCGCCTGCGGTCAGTGACCCCCCCCCACCAAGGCCGCGCGGCCGAGGTCAGTGCCCCGTCAAGGCCGCGCGGCCGAGGTCAGTGACCCCGCCAAAGTCGCGCGGCGGAGGTCAGTGACATTACTAGTATGTATATAATACATATAATACAATATAAAGTATAATATTATAAATATATAATAAATTATATGTTTAATATGTACTAGTTAATGTTATATATAATATAAATTACAGACACGTTATTTTCACGTGTTGTTTTTCTACTCTTTCCTGTCATGTGACTTTAATCACATTTTTAATTTTCTCCACGTATACGACGAACTGTCTCAAAATCGCTTTTCTATCATTATTTACTCTCTCGATCTTACCGATTCGATTCGACTCGACTCTACTCGATTTTCTGATAGGATTGTTTGATTACTTATGTTTGATGTTATAAATTGTTACTTATATTTGATGTTATATATATATTTATATAAATCGTTATATATATTTTTTTTTATATTTGATGGTTTTATTAATGCAAATTGTTGCTGATTTATGAATTTTAATATGTGTTGTTTTTATTGATGACATGTTTGCTTATTTATTAGTTTTGATGTGCATAATTTGCTCAGTTTTTAATTTTGATGTGTATATTTTACCGACGTGTGCAAAACAAAAAAGAATCATTGCTGGCGGCTTTCTTAGGCTCTTGTTCCAAAATGTGAGTTTTATTAAAGGATGATATAAGATGAAAAAAAATATATATATATATGTATATGTATAAGATAATATACAGATGATTGATCTTTGAAGATGTGAGGAATGGATAGTTGTAACTTTCTCTCTATTTAGGAATGTAATTCTCATCGAATGTAAGCGATTTGTACACTTTTTTCTTGATCAGCGATCTTATTAACATTTTTTTCAAGAGTAGGAAAAGATGTATTATTATCTTTTTTACGATAATGAGCGACATATCTTGTTAAAAAGATGATAAATGGAATAATTAGTGCAAAATAAAAAATTTTCTTTCTTATATTGTGAAAATTACAACTTTATAGATGCTGTACGGCGTACACATTTTGTACGCGCATTTTGAACAAGTCGGTTTATTAAAAAAAAAAAAAAAAATACATATGTAGCGACGTTATACACGTGAAGTGCGATGAACGTTCAAAGCGACTTGGCGTCTACGTTAGTGTCGGAGAAAGCGAGTACATATCCACGACGATGATGACGCGGCTATCTATTTTACGATACATGGAGAGGATCAAAAGGATTCTAAGCGAGCATGATTATGCGCTTCATGCACCGACGTGTAGATCCCCACCCGCGCTCCGGAGAAAACACAATTTTTATCAACGCGGTAAAGTAGCTCACGACTTGCATATGTACTCTGCATCTGTGTTATCTCGCGTTTTATCACTGAGAGGACGACCTGCTACGTGAGAACTGCCTATTTTCTCCGTGACAGTGACAGCAAAGATCGCGATTAAGATAGACACTCACTTCGCGTCGTTTATAAGCGATCATAAAATATTTTACGCGTGCCGCCACTCGGTCGATCCGGCGAAAATAAATCACATATCCGTGACACCGCAATCGCATATATATTTCCAAGTATGAAAATAATAAATTATCTTAAAAAATAAATAAATAAATATAAACGGAACGTGAAACATATGTCACGAGTGTGTTTTAATAAAAATATATTTGTAAGTGAATTGCAATTACTGCATTAGTTATTAATTAATATTTATGTCTGTATATATTTGTTTTTTTAGACATTTATAATTTTATAGAGATAAAAAACATTCGCGTGTCAAAAAACATCACTCGCACGATGTGACTGAAGCGCGAAATTAAACTTATTATTAGGTTCAAAATTTGTGTGAATCTTTCTCGATCAATCATCACCGCATCAACATCTTTCGCGATATATTCGTATGACGTGTCGCAAAAGATATTATTATTCCGCGAGGTGCCATATGCGACGAAAACGGGCAAACGACTTGCTACTACGCGGTGTCTACTCAGGGAAGTACATTTCCTACTTTCTCCGCCGATCCGTTCGGTCGTACAAGTATTTACCAGTCTACTTACAAATGTCTCGCTTCTCTTCTTCGCTCGTATAACGTCACTCACACGCGAGAGAATCTTTTCTCGTGAAAGATTTATCCGCGAGAATGACGAGTATTTATGCAATCGAAACATCATCGTCGCGCGATAAAATATTACACGAAATATTTTAGAAATAAATAAAAAAATATCAATGAGATGGTAAAATATATGTGTATTAAAAAAATATACATATATCTACATTAAGCATCAAAAGTAGTTTGAAACATTGCAATTGATGTTCGATAGATTACGAACTGCGATAATATTTTTTTTATGCAATTGTTCACACGTGGGATTAATTCGTGAAAGTGAACAGTACGTTTGACAGATGTCTGGAATCATTGTTTTTGATTTATAATTGCCATTTATACTCTCCCCCCCATACTTTTTATACATACACATAATTTTCTACTACTTTCTTAGCAATAAATTTCTTTGAAGTTTTTGACTGTGCTTTGTTTTTTTTTTTTTTTTTTATCGCGTACAATTAATCAGAAACGTGAGTTTTTGTATTTTTCAAAGCTGAACAGAATTTTTAATTATTTTTTTTATACTTTAGAGTTTTAAGTGTCGCTGCCACATCATGCAGCAAGTTGAACATTTATTATTGCGAGAGCGAAGGAGCTTCGATGCTTTCTCCGTGTCATTTCTCTCCCGCCTGACTATCTCTCCGTTCGTCGTAAACACACACGGTCTATATACCGTGCACATCGTTGTAACATGAACTTCTTCGCCGTCTTCTGTCGTCACTTCCTACAAGAAACCGATATGATAGAAGCCATGTCCAATACTTCCATACCAGCGCCGTGCTTTGCGCTAGAAAAACATTTCGCCGCAAGACTTTCTTAGCGCGCGCGAGCGATTGTAGCAATCAACCGTGATCAATTATTTGTAACGTGCATTTTACTTGGAGACGCAACGTTCGAAACACGCTGATGCGCTTAAATTAATGATATATCCCAACACACGCACGCGTAAAAGTTAGAAATTTTTTTCTCAAAATAAATTGGAAATTTGCTGTCGCCTAGTTCGTTCTCGATATTATGCTCATCGCTCGGCGATTCTTCATTCTAAAAAGAGCTCAGCAAGAATATAGTTGCAAAATTATACTAATGCCGATTACGGTATTAGTACGCAGCCTGTATGCGGGAACACGTAGACGTTTGCGTTACAATGTATATAGCAGAGAGAACCGTTCACGTTCACTCACGCGTGCTTCGCGCACACACACGGTGTTTAGAAAGTCCGGCAACGAGACCACCACCACCACCATCACCATCACCATCATCTCCGTTGTTGGCACGGAGATACACTTTGGTACCAAAAGGCAATGTAAATCCCCCGAAGGTAGTGTACGCCACAGCTTAGGTGGGGCACGGCTCTAAGCTAGCGGTGCCAGCGCTTCCTCGACGTTCACTGCTCGCCGATCCGTCGAGCTATCGACACCGGACGGTATATCGGAGCAGAGAGAATTTTTAATATTATCGCATCTATATCGCACCGGGGAAGATCGTCAGTCCGACAATCGACGGAAGCGTACATAAGAGAGAAAGGTGAGACTTGACTTCAGTCCGGGTCGTTCGAGAGTGGCCGGTTTGTGCTACGTGGACTAACAAGTCAGAAGGCGCGATGGAGAAGGATTCGGACTCCCTGGCCACGGTTGCCGTCGTCTCGGAGAAGATGCCGCAAACCCATAGCCACTATGCCCCCAGCGAGGTGTATTCCACCACCGAACCGCCACCGGTGAGTTTTTTTTTTTATCTTCTCTTACTTATTTAATTAGGATGTTACAAACTTAATGGATTTTGTTTCAATTCGTTGGTTTTTGAAAGAAATTGAGGCAAGTGTTTTTTTTTTTTTTGTTTTTTCAAGAGTGCCTTTCTTTGTCTCCGCGAAGGAAAGCATGAAAATGTAACACATTCGAGAGATGATCGTCTCAGATGATCTTCAAAATTAGATATCTCCGGAGCTGTGATATTTGAATCACAAATTTACGAAGATGTTTTTTTTTTCAAAATAATTGTGATAAAAATTGAATTTAAAAAAAAAGAAGAATTACATTTTTACTTTTTATACTTTCTCTTTATATATTCTGAAAAATTTTCAACCGCAAAAATGCGATATCTCGACGCGCATAGTCATATAAATAAATGTCTGGCGAAGTCATATAAATAACAAAAAAGAATATTATCATATCTCTCAATACACGCGCGCGAATTTTTATTATTCTCGCAAGAAAATTACGCGACCTGTAAAATGTAAAAAATACATTCGTGTGTCACCTAAACAAACAGATGACGTTTACTCTGTAATTTTTTTTTGAAGAAGAACGTATTGCTCGAATATAAAAGATCATATGTATATTCTCTCAATTAAAAATATAATCTATTTACATATAGTTAACTGTGCGTCACAGAGCACAGTTAACTGTAAAGTATAAATCGCGATGGTGGCCTTCGACGGTGCAAAATCACATTCGACTCGTAATCGGGATGACTAAAAATAGCGTAAATAATGTTTTATAGCGTTTTTTTTTGTCTAAATAAAGAAATAGCATGTATAATAACGGGTAATGTAAAAATTTAATTGTAGCTAGGAAATTGAAAACGTTCTATCGTAATTGAGCGCCGACAATGTGATGGAGAGAGCAACCTACCTACAACAAAGAAATTACTCGCTCGGCTGTTCGAAGGATCTCTTTGTGCGTTCAACGTCGGATAGTCCATAAATGTGCTCTCGCGTTCACATAATTACGTTTTCGTCGTTATTTGTGAAAACGACATAATCAAGTTAAAATATCTCGGGTATGTTTATGTTCTCTCTAATAGGTGTAATCTCGAGTGTTTTTAATGCGCGTGCGAATAAAAACCAAGTTTCTCTTTTGCTCCGAACTCAAAGCGAAATTTCAGAAATCCGCGAAAAGAAAGTCGATCGCGTGATAAATTAAATTACAATAAATAGAGATTGTTTTTTTTTTTTTTTTTTTAAAAAAAGTGTATTTCTGTTAGCGAACATCTTTGTGCGCGTGGCTGTAAGGCAAAAGTAAAATATGCGTATTTGTGTCTCAAGGATGAATATTTCTGGAACGTGCGCTACATTGTGCGCCGCGATCGAGTGTTGTTTTCTGCGAAAATGTACGTGCAATAAATAATTTTTGCATCAAAGTATTGACAAACAGAAAACAATATATATGACGCATACAAATTTCTCTTAACTTATTTGGTTATTTCGTCGATTCGAATCGAATGAGCGAGTGGAATGCAAATGTTATGATGACGTTTCGCCGATTGATATCAGTCGACTTGCGTAATGGCGCGAACCTTCCAACTTTGCGACTTGAAATCGACAAATACAAAGTATTGTTTGCAAATACAACCGGTATGGGCGATAACGCGTTCGAGTAATTGCAATTCTGCCGCAAGGATGCGTGCAAAGGACTCGGTTATCTTGGGAAGATAATGCGCGAGGTCTCAATCAATCGCGTGGGAAGAATTATTGAAGGTAATATATATCTCTTTGAAAAACTTTGAAGGAAGCTGCGCTATATGAAACAAAAAAAAGAAGGAAAGAATATACACAGCGGATAATGGTGGTTTTCCTAGAAAAACGAGTTTAATTATGCGTGAAAGGATCTCAGAAATAAAAGAAATACAGTTTAATACAACGCGTGACTCATGTGAATAAATGCGCTTGGAGATAATTATTTATTGCCGTGAAGCGGTGTAAAAGAAGCGCAATATAGAAATAGCAGCGCGATAAGGTATAATCGAATACGGGATTTTGTAATAACTACTTTATAAATGTTTTTCTGCTTTGCAATCTTTGGATTTAGTTCCTAGAAATCCGCAAGTTTTTTAACTGTAAAATTACACTTGTGCAAAAAGCGCGGACAAGATACTTCCGCGAAAGTTGGTTTTGCAACGCAATTGCGCAAATTAGCGATTACACTCAAATAACAATTGTCGCTCGATTATTTGGTAATTTCTGTCGTAATGCAAATTAAAAAATCATTCGGTAAAAAAAAAAAACAAGAAAATCAACAGAGACAGTCTGTGTTTTGTATTGTAAGCAAATATTGTGTCATTTCTGACGTGTGATGTACGTTCGAGTACAAACATTGAGTAATTTTCTGAAAGAAAGTTTTGTGTGTGCGTTTTCTTCGCTCTACTAATATTTCTTATCTTATTTTTCGCGCACATATTTTTTTTTCGCACTTGCATCAAATTTAATGACCGGGAAATTTAATTATTTTTTTCTTTCAAGAATATAAATCAAAAAACTAGTGCTACGCGCAACAACCAAAGTGCACTTGTTCGCGAACGTGCGTCTCGTTACACCGTATAAACAGCGAGAGATTAATTACGGTAATTATAACGTGCAAAAAAGTGTGCGATTCGTCCGCATATATATTCGCGGTGAAAAGGATTCTTTGAGCGGAATATGTGCACTTCCGTCGTGAAAATCGCGAACGCGTCGTCATTAAAAACGGTCTCTTAATTGTACAAACGAGAGAGTTTGGGAAAAAAGAAAAGAGTCTCGTCTCTAAAAACAAACGCCGCGGCTCCTACACTGAGAATATTTAACTTTCAACCGCTCACACATTTGCAAAGATTTCGCTTTACAAGGTATACACATACAACGCGCGGATCGAACTTTCTGGAGATTTCAATGCACGTGCACTGAATAATTTCAACGCTCTGCCACAAATAAGTGACCCATACACCCGATTTATTTTAACATACACGTTAAGGAAATGTTGTTAGTTTTATTTTTTTGCGAGTTCAAAGATCCCTCGGCTTTTTTTACAAACTCCGATGGAAGGCCGCGTTTCCGCCTTCGATCTGTTACGCAGCAACAATGATTGCTCTGCCACGCGTGTCTCCGGCGAAACACGCGACAATGGAGATTTCACGTTTCCATTAAAAATATTATTTGCCGATTTTGCAACTCTTTCGTGCCGAGTGCATTTTATCTTGAGAAAGATGTACCGTTTAAAAAAGTCGCTACCGTATTATTTTCCGACGTATAATGAGAAGTAGAGACACATTTTGCAACTAGTTGGATGTGTAATTATTTTTTTCTAATTACGGTTGAAACTTCGTACATGTTTTGCGCATTTGTCTGATTTGCAAGTAAAACACTCTGAACGCATGAAATTCGTCCCTGGTCAACTCCACGTGTTTTCGCTTTTCTTGCACATTATTATCGTCGTCGCTCATTTGCTTTAGACTGTGACAAACGATGTGTCCCACGCTTACGTAAGACAAAATAAATACTTAAATATTCGTCAGAGATACAGGATGTATCTTAGCCGCACACTGTTTTTATGATCTTTAATTATTCTTATTCATTATCTAAGAGAATTTTTGTAGATTTTGTGTGTTTCATGACAATGTTTATATATAATATAATAATTAATTTAAATAAAAGAAACGTGAGACAAGTACATATGCAAAAAAACTCTTTCTCTTTCTCTTCTCTCTTTTTTTTAAATTTGTAATTTTTTTTATTAAAAATAATACGTGCATTATCGATAATCAAAAGCGGCTTTTTTTTTTTAAAGAAGTTTAATATTGATCTGAAAAGTTTACTATTATGCGCCACTTTAAAACCACACACGCCACACGACCTTTCATCATTTTCTACTATACGTATTAAAGAGAAAGTACAAAACATCATCGATATCTCAAATGATACGTTGACCACGTAGTATCGGAATTATAGCTTTTAGAAAACGGATATCACCTTCAAACGAGTTTTGCGATTTTCTAAAGCGTCGAAAGGAGTGATACCTTATTCAATGAAATCAATATAATTTCATTGAATTCAATTTTTTTTTCTTATAAATTGCAATCCACGCTCGAGTGACTTCGACGAAATTAACAGAATCACCGGAGCTTCCTCCGCGCGGCGATTGTTACCTCAAATCAGTCATCGTTACGGATTGGATCCCGTTGTTGGGAGATCAGTGATGGATGTCGATGACTCACGAAGTGGAGAACAGATCCAAGAAATTTGTCTTAAAGGATAAATAATAAGTTTTTCGTCTCGAGTGTGCCTGGCAACAGAGTAGCTGTTTACTTCTTCAGGCAGATCTCGCGCGGCATGAAGTCAGAAAGCCTCGGAATGGCCTACTATCTCTTGGAAGCCTCTCACCTGAGTCGTCCATCCGCATCGAGGTCATTACGAATTGTACGAGTACAGTCCGCGATGCAAGTCTCTCATCTCCAGAGCAAAGAGAGAGAGAGAGAAAGAGAAAGAGAGAGAGAGAGAAAGAGAAAGAGAGAGAGAGAGAGAGAGAAAACTGTTGTTTTACGAAATATCCAAAAATTTCTCTGCCAATGACGTGTATCTTGTTTTTCTTTTTTGTTTATTTATTTTGTTCGGAAAGTTTCTCACTTGCTAAAGTTATTTTGAATAGAATCACTCGAAGAAGCGAATGAAAATGAACTTTCTATTTCGAAACTAAAATACGACGTTTTGTTTTCGATATATTTTTGAGTTCACAATGGACACAGCGCGTGATGTTAGAGGCACGATATATACGATTGGAACAAATTAATGTAAAATCAGCGGCGAGCGTCTTTGATCTACAAAGGCGTCGGGCATCGAAACAGATCCGAGAGCCTTGCTATAATAATGTCAAGGTACAGTTAGCACGCGTCAGATGTATCGCGCACGTTTCCGGAGTCTCTTGAGACTCAAACGGTCAAGTAATTGTTCAATTTTAGCTGAAAATTCATTCTTTTGTAATGTAAAATTCGTCGACGGCGATGTGCTGTGAAAATGTTACCATTCGTGCGTTTCTCATGCAAATGCGATTTGATTAATTTCATTTTTCAGAAGTTTGCATACAATTGCACTTCTATAGATTTTGTCGACACACAGAGCGACGCGAGAACCATTTGCGATATTTATGTTCAATATCACGTATAAATATGAATGCACATATGCATATGTATATAAAGATACATATGTGTCTGCATCACAGTTGTCACGGAGTTGCTGGTGTTTTTCTTAACACACACACACACACACATATAATAGCACGGGAGACTTCACGCTGGTTAACCAACCGAGTCGAGGTCTTTTGTCGTTTCACGCTCTCCTTTGACGTTCCCTTCGCCATTATTGCTTTTAGAGGGGAAACTAGTTTAAACAAGTTGGAAAAAAAAAAAAAACTGTTCTTTGCAAATGTTTTCCAGAAAAAACTAAAGAAGCTAAGGAGACGAGGTTGTCTTTATTATATGTTGTACGTTGATTTGAAATAGTCGAAAGAATTTTGCGTGTATGGAACTGTCTGTCAACAGTTACGGAGAACAATTGATGTTGAACTGTGATTATCCAAACGCAATTTTATCGCCTAAAATTTCGGTTGTTTTTGGTAATAAAAAAACTTGACACTTTAGGAAAAATTCCAGAAAGAATTTTAAACATTTTATTCTTCGAGAAAATGCAAAAACTTGAATTTTTTTTCAAGTTGTCAATCTAATGTCATCTTAACTTGTCAACGATACGATACGGCAACGAGAAGTCTACCTACGGAACTCGATTTACAACAATCGTTGTTGATTCTGTAATTAGCATAAGAAATTGTGAGTCTTTCTGCAAATTACGATGATTGTTAAGTGTTGCAAATCATTTTTTTTTTTTTTCAGGCATACATGAGACCGCCGACGAAGAGCACGGCGGTGCAAATCGCGAGGATCGCCGCTTTCACTCTGATCACGATTTCCTTTTTGCTGGGAAGTTTTATCCTGGCGTCGGCCTGGGTTCAGGCCAAAGTCTCGTGCACGCCGGAATCGATCGCGGCGATGCAGGCTGAGCTCCGGCAGCAACAGCAACAAAATTCTGGATCGTATCAACCGCAAGGTGAATTCCTGAAGCACTTGCAACCGGAGGCTCTAGTACAGGTAATGATGTCAAAAAATGTGGCAACGAGTTAATATCAACTTGATATAACGGCGCATTAAAACAAAACAAGTATAAAAAATGATAAAAGATATGAAGAAGTAATTTTCTAGTAATAATTAATTTCTTTCGTTATCAAGAATAATCTGCAATCATATTATCTCTCAAAGCGCAGCTTGTATGAGTGTACAATTGTACGGAAGGTGATCGCGCTGTCTCTGACTGCGGTTCTCGCGGAGAAATCGTGTCCTGTGAACTTCTCGCAACGGGGAAAGTGACTGTGTCCGCGTATCGACGGCAACGTCTGATTTCTCGTTTAATTGTTAAACGGATTAAGCGTCATCGTTCGGCGTAAAAACGGAGTCAGACACCGACGGTGGCGGCTTTCAGCTCGTTTTGCGTTCACGGTGATGATTTCCATAGAGATTTCTAAGTTTTCACATTGTGCGGGGCGGTGCGTTCTCGACGGATCGTAAAACAAATTGATCGACGGCTCGTAAAAACAGGCACAATCGACAGAATTATTGTGTCGCGAAGATCGTCGAGGAGAGTTCTCGCCGGGAATCTTCCTTCGGTAAAACGACTTAATGGTTTTAACACTTTACGATCGAAAGTGAAAAAAGAAAAACGTCAGTGGTGCGACTCCGCTAACGCAATTAACGCCCCCGCCATTGCGCTCGGTTGAGACGCAAATTTGCTTCTGTAAGCAGCCGCCGAATGCGCGTTCTCGACGAATATATGCGAAAATAAAGCTAAAACGCGAATAAATCGATTGTGACAATCTGTTTTTTTTTCTTTAGCTCTTATACGAGACGCTATTTTGTCTCGCGAGCGTTTTGAAATTTGAGAGACATGCTTGATAGAGACTTTAATTCAATTTGTCTCTTTGTTTGGCCGTGAATTTTATGGATTGGAAAAAATTTGCGCGCAAGAGAGCGCGACGATCGTCAACGGGAAACACAAACCGAGTAAAATTGCTTCGAGGAGGAAAGAATCGTGTACGATCCGTGATCTCTTGGTCACGCCATTCTAGCTTGATGATGTTCGCTTTAATATTGTCATAAAACGATTTCTGAAATTTGCCATAATTCGCCGATGATTCCCCGCATTCGCTCCACAACCGCAAAATACAATTTACAGTTTTGTAAGCGCGTTTCTGCCGGCAATCGAAACACTCGCGCCGGTCGATCATTACAGCGGGAATTTGAAGAGAAATTCTATACCGCTAACGAGCGGGTAATAGCGATGAGAGATTTATAAAATAATTCCAGCATTTAATATTTATTCGCCGAATGAAAGATCGTGTCTGAAAATTAATAGATGCGAGTGAATGGGTAACAGAGAGATATAAACAACCGACAGCTCTTGCATCACAGGACTTGTATGCAACTAGAATGTCGAGCGCAAACTTTTCCGACAAGCACTTAAAAAAATGCGCGTACGCGAGTGCGTTTTTTTTACAAATTGTGTAAATTGAGCGATTTGTAACCACGTGTAATTGTGTTTTTTTTTTTGATAACGCTTTGCACTTTCAACGTAAATATGTGCACGTTTATATTTTAACTTCGATATCAGTAACACATCTGCGCGAATATCTTGCCGTGATAAAAACATATCCGCGGCGAGATGTTTTACAAGCAACTTTTACACCTCCGGGTAACGCATCGTCTGGTAAGGTAATTGAATTTGTAGCGAGGTAATTTTCCCGCGGAGACTTTCCTGCTTCTTCAGTTTTTTGTTACGCAATCGCAACAGACGTATTCCGTGAAAAAAAATTATCGCGCAAACAATTTTTGCATACACATTTACGTAATGTAGTTTTTGTTTTTCTGAGAATGTGTTTAATTGGGGAAGCTCGCGAAATTTGTGCGGAGTTGCACAAAGAAGAAGGAAACAAAGTTCGAAAATTCGACTCGCTCGATCAAAGAAAGTTGGTGGATGCATTCGGTGAAAATTACGTAGTCGGATGCTAATGAATGAATCAGCATAAAATGTCAGAAATTTAGAAAGCGTGGAGCTATTTGCAACTTGTGTACATTCTTATGCACCCCGGTCAAAAGAGCGGCGAAGGAACGCAATTGGTATCTTGTGAGCGCGCGCTTGAATTGGCACGCAAATTGCAATTTTTGTCAGGTAATAAAACCTGTGTTTTTTTTTTTTTTTCACTTTTAATGGCTATTCGCGATTACGGTTTCTGTGAAAGTGATCGCGAAATGCTTCTTGATTGACGCTCGTAAAAAAAGAAAAGAAAAAAATACACGTTTTTCCACGCGTTAAGAAAAGTCCCGCGACAACAATGCGCGCGATCTTTCATTAAGAGAACCGGGGGGGGGGAGGAAGAGCTGTGAGAACCGAGCGCACCGATATACGGACAACGGCAAATTCCGATGGCAGAATGTGAGACGTACGAAGAGACACGTATAGTCTCTCACGGGAACACGGACACCGTCCGTGAATATACAAGAAAACGAAACGCAAAGAAACCGGCGCGAAGCGGTGCCAGGAGCTCGGCGCGTTCAAGGAGAACCGCAGCCGGGGGAATTACGTAATTCGGATTGCGTTCCTTATATGTGATTGCGGTTGTGCGCGCGGAATCAACGAGATAGCTGCCGCTACCATGTGCAAATTTGTAATAGCGACCAATTGTGCGCTTCGATCAATCAATAACGTGGAACATGTGTGTAAACATCGATGCGGTTGTTAAAGAAAATACAAATTTATTATCAAGTTGTTTCGTTACTTTACAATTAGATACAATTTTTGAAACAAGTAGATAATTTGTTTTATATCTGTGTGTGTAATAGAGGAAATAATTTAAATGAGACATTTAATTTGTTTTTTCCTGCTTTGTGCAAGCTTGTATTTTTTCGTCTATTCAACTTGTTGCAGAAACAAGTGGTTAATTATTTCTTACTTTTTTTTTATTTTTTTATTTTGTGAGTTCTTTATGTTAGATTTCAGTTCAAACTTCATTCAAACGTGCACTATCGCCCTGCATTTGTTTCTCCCGTTAGACGAGCCTCGGTGTAGTCGTCGCGGAGCACACGGAAACCGCGCGCTCAATCGCGCACCGTGTTTTCTCTTTTGTCGGCAATCAATTTCTCTCCCCCTCTCGCTTCCCCCCTTTTTTTTTTCTCTCTCCGGTCTTTCTTGTTCATAAGGTAAACGGTTCTCTCAAATTGGATTGCTTCCGCGAATATCCGCGACGTTGTTCCCCATCGTATTCTCAATGCATTCGCGATAGTGGCACCTCAACCCATCTGTCGCGTTTTGATCGCGGCTTGTGAATACAACGCCGGTCGCAGCGGTCTCCGAGCCGCTTCCCGTCCGGTTATGGCGACCGATAGAAAGTAAGATGGATACATACGCCACGGGAATGTAATACCGAACGCGGGATATATAAAAGCGCTCTCGGTTCATGTAACGGTCGCGCGAAAGGTGAAAATCGGTCATCGTGAGGGTCAATGAAATTTCATTTATGATCGCAGAAACGAATCGCGCCACGAGTTGTTCTCGGGACCGACCTAGAAAATTGCAAAATTTCTCTCGAAAAGAGAAAAAAAAATTATGAAATGTTTATGTGTAATATCATAAAAGTATAAATTAATTACTTTTAATATATTGCATTAGAAATTTGTCACCGGAGAAAATAAATCGAAATAGATATTTAGTAAAAAAAAAAAAAATACTGAAACATTTCATCTATTTGTAAATATTTATGAAAGTAATTTGTGTCAAAAAACGATGTGAATTTAAAAAGTATTTTATTTTTATTAGCAAGTGAAAAAAATTGTTTCCAACAGTTTATCAAAATATCTCAATTGTCAGACAATTGTGTGTTTTTTTATTGCCGATCGTAATCACGCATGGAATCGTCCATTAAAGGAGTCGAAAGCATTAAAAAAAATAATCGATCTCCCATCTTTTGAATTTTAATCACCTTGGCATTAATTATCGATGATTTCACCGTGGCGGCAAAAAGACATCTCCTGACGCTTCATTATTTAAATGAACGGTTCGCTTCGTATTTCTTTTTCGAGCCGTCCATCGTTTCAAGGATCAACTTTTGCGCTTTGTTACCCTCTATTCTCGGCGTGTCGCACGTGCAAATTAACAGTCGTATGCACGTATCTTCCTCGCGTATTATTCGTGGATGTCGCAATCAGTTTCTTATAATTCGCACACACAACGAACGGAAGTGAGTCGTCTATGAGAGAGATTATCTATTTCCTTGTACAATATTTTTATAACACAGATCATATTTCTTCAGTTTGTTTACAATATAAATTAAATACGTATTAAATTGTGAAGCGAAAGAAAATAGACACTGGCAATAATTGTTTTTCCACGAGAAAGCGCGCGATCTAAAATAAAAACGATTGTATTATAACACAAACATTGATCAGAGTAATATTTCTATATTCTCGTGAACGATGCTACATCTTTAGTATGCTGCAGGTTTCTTATCGTCTCTCGGGGAGCAACAAGACACTTGGAAAACTTTCATGAAAGTAGGTTGTGTCGGTTGCGCGCTGGCAGCGAGGTGAACGTTCTCTAAAAAGATTTTCTCTCAGCTAATAGCATTGTTATGTTAACTTGTTCGCGACAGTTATTTAAAGTCGATTTTTTTAATATTGCATCCGTTGCATACACGCGCATTGTCATACCACCCAGTCCCATTGTCGCCGAACAAAAAATAAGAAACTGATTTGTAAGTGAATTAATACACCGACAATTCTCGCAGAAGAGCTCGCGAAGTTGCGACAACACATCAAATTGCGTTGTCCCAACTATACCGCTATCACGTCGGTTCAACCACGCACGTACATCTTTAAAAAAAAAAAAAAAAAAAAACGATAGGTAGTCATAATGGACCGCTAATTGATAGGTTCGAGGAAGGTTGCCGTGTTTTCTAAAGAAAGCCATTCGTGTACGGCGAAGTCATCGCTGCGGCAAATTGCGAGGTGATTTCTTTCGCGTCGCACGCTTTGTGAATCCCGAGTGAGTGGAAACGCGCGCGCGCGCGCGGCTCTCGTTTTCTTTTTTCTTTCTTTTTTTTTACATCTACTGCGGAATTTCGAGTCGCTCGATGATCTCGCGCGCGTCGCGCGTCACACGCGGAATAATTATTTCTGCAACAAATTCGAGAGAAGCGAGAAGTGACACATATTTAACTACGCATTATTTAACATGTTTTTAAGTTTTTTGCACGACGATTTTTAATCGATGAGTTTGACTCATCGGTTGTTGAGGCAAAAAAATGAATATATAAATGATTTTCATGTATCGTGGAAATATTTGGCGAAGCAAGACAAGGAAAGCAAATGCGATGAAAGTTTGCGCGCGACGTTTTCTTCGATGTCGAGATTTCTTTACACGCTTTGAGTGACGTCTCGAAATAGCGATGCCAATCAACGTTCAACGTTTTATCTTTACCTGAAATTAATTAAATATAATGAAATTAATTAAATGCAACATGTTAAATTCTCGAGATGCAAAACAGTGTTGTATTTGCTTATAACTGAAGAAAGTTTATAAAATTGCGTATCGAACAAAATAAATATGCTGAAATTAAATTGCTCAAAAATGAGGCAATCGTTAGCTGCAACAATACAATTTACTGCGTGTTGGCAAACGTATCAGAAATTAACAGTTGCATTGTTGCTGTTATACAATGCTGTGACCGCACTTGGATCGACGCGCATTGGAAACAATACAGGGGTTTTGCACGAAACATTTGTTAGCCAATTGGCGATAACTCTCCTTTCCTTTACACATTAGGAAAGACGTTGTGTCAATAATGATAATATTTCGAGATGTTTACATCGCGGTAATTCCTATGCCTGAATGATTGTAAAAGGACTACCACCGGATACGACGAGAAACGGCACGATCGTTGCCGACAAAAGCTTGAAATTATAACGTTTTACCGTCTTGCTATTGCTTTCGGCTCGCATACGATTTTCAACTCGTTTTGCTGAGGTTACAATGTGATAATATAAAGTGAGTTCACTTTCACTAGTGACCCGATGTCGCGACCAGGAAGACGAGTTGCATCAACGAACGATTGCCGCGGCGAGCGATGTTTGTCTGACTTTCGAAGCCTCGAGGAAAGGAATATGCACTCTTGTTTCGTCAATATTTTTCCAGCTTCTCTCCCGAAGATAAAAAAAAAAAAAAAATCATACAGTACGATCCATATTTCTTAGAATTAAAGCAATGGATGTAGAACTGTAGAAGAGATTTCAGTAGATTGATATAAAATGTACATAAATTAGAAAGTTTAGATTTTACGTGAATTTTATAAGTTTGCAACAATTACATTAATGTATAAACAATAAAAAAGAAAGTTTTTTTTTTATACGAAAAGCTTATGAAAAATATTGTGCGTGTTTATAGGAATCTGTTGAGTCGAAGAATTCTGTGCAAAGCTTGGCCGCGCCAACGAAGAAAGAGATCAATCCGGACACTAAGGACGTGAAGGTTCACGAAGAAGGAGAAAACAGCTCGAAATCCGATAGCGAGAGCGGCGATGACGACGACGATTACGACGACGATGAATTTCCACCGGTGCACATTAAACTTCCTCTTCAGTTGGATCTTGACGACATTGCAGGCGTGAGTATATTTTATACATACAAACCTAATTAAATTCTATTGAAGTTGCACACAATCGAGTTTCTAAGTTCAACGATTCTTTCAGACGCTAATTCAACAAGCTCGCAGCAGAGTTTCCTGCGTGGTTGAACGACGACGAGCCGACGAGGTGATGGACGGAACCAATAACAACTTGGACAACAATACCGATCCGCAGCGTTTCCAGAGACTGAGCGGCGAACGAGTTGCCATATTTTGCGAATCAGGCAATCCGAATCAGGAGTAAGTAGCACGAAGCTGTGTGCGTACGCACACACAAAGACATTAAACACTGATGATATTATTATTTTACAGACAAGGAGAGCAAGAGATGCTCACCCCGATCATTGTTCCACTGGGCCATTTGCAAATTCCTCTTCAGTCACAAGAACCTAATCCCAACTATCACCAATATCAAATGCAAGGCCAGTACCAAGTGCCCGATATGCAGCAGCTGCCGCTCGGCGACCCACGAGGATTGAATCACATCCCACCGGGCGCACTTCCTCCCGAACTCCGTAATCTTCCGCACTTGACTATGGAGATGCGACCGCCTCGAATGGGTCCGCAGACGCCCGCGATGGGATCACAAAACAATCCGATGGGACCGCAAGTGAGTCTCGGTCATATAAATATAAAACAAAGATGTCATCTACCTATTACGAAACGTTTATAATTGCGTCAATATGGTGTCTAGATCGAAATGCGCCAAATCCCTATCGAACTGCGTCACTTCCCAATGGATCCGATGAGAGGTATGCGGCCGATGCCTCAAGAGCCACGCCAGGAACCGCAGCAGGTCTCGGTGGTGTATCAACAACAGCCAGAGCAGGTTCCCAACACTTATAATCATGATCAGCAGGATCCAGCTATGATGCCACCTCCTCCACCGCAAGCCGAGGCGCAGATCCAAGATCAGAGAATACCTCCCATGATGATCCCGCAGACCGAACAGAGGCCACCTGCTCCTCCTCAGGCTGTACCCGAAAAGCCGCGCTCTCCCTTCCAAGGTATTCCCATCGAAATCAGAAGAATCATTCAACAAGTACCGCTGGAGATCAAGAACATCATCCAGCACATCACCGGTGAAGCCAGACCATTCCCAGTCAACGAAGTGCCAGAGGGAGCACGACGTGAAGTAAGTTAAAGAGAGACGCATTACAACATATTCGAAGCACAAGATTAACGATGTAATAAATCTTGATTTTCGGAAATGATTGTACACGACAAACTAAAAAGAACCAACCTGCAAACAGGAATTTGCAGTGCCAGCAGGACCATTCCCACTCCCGGTAGAAGTGAGAAATTTGATCGAACACGGAAATATTGAAGGTCGTCAACGTTCGGATGGCGACGAACAACAGGAAGCGAAGTCCTTCTCAGGTCAGGAGGACGAGAGCGATGAGCTTGAAAAGAACTTCCCCGTGCCCGTAGAAATACGTAATATAATTCATCAGGTAAAATAATTAATAATTCATCAGTAAAAACTTAATACACTAATGAGATATGTTCTATGTGTATTAAAAAAATCAAGATACTAATGTTTTTATTATTTCGAATAAGCTTTATTTGTACAGAGTATATTCTTAATAACAATCCATTTGGAAAGAAATTAATTTATCTGATTAAAAAAATTAATTACTTATTTTGTTTTTATCTGAAAATTTAGACGTTAACAACTTTTAAACTGTGCAGTCTATCGACCATGAGAATCACTGTGCAACACAGTTACTCATGTCGCTGTGTGGTAGCGTGGCCGAGCGGTCTAAGGCGCTGGTTTAAGGCACCAGTCTCTTCGGAGGCGTGGGTTCGAATCCCACCGCTGCCAATTTTTTTTTATTTTTATTTTTTTTTTATCTAAAGCGACAATTGTGCGTAATATACACCGCGCCGTGTAATTATAATTCATGTGTAATTAAATACAAATAAATCTTAGTGTGACGTAATTGATAAAAATAAAAAAATTAAAAAAACCAATTTCTGGAATCTCAGGTAGTTGAGGGTCGTGCTTTTCCGATTTCGAGATTTGCTCTGAGACCTGTTGAGTCCTTGGAGATACCAGTGGAAGCGCGAGCTGAAGTGTCAGACGGCCAGTCTACGGAGCAACAGCCTGAGCAACAACAGCAGGAACAACATGAGGAGACACATATGATAATTCAACAGCAACAACAGCAGCCGCAGCCGCAGCAGCAACAGCAGCAACAACAACAACAACAACAACAACAACAACAACAAGAGCAATCTTTGCAGGAAGAGAAAGCCCGTCCGCACTGTAAATAATTTTCTTTCTTTAGAGTTTTACATTGGATAGTTTTTTTTAAAATGACTTTATTTTTATGTTGAAGATTTTTTCTATTATTAAGTTATTATAACGACCACATATATCAGATATTATTTTCATAATACCACATGTTTGAAGATATTGCATTTGACAAAATAATTTGCTTGTTCACAGACGTGCAACCACGTTCCGTGCGCTCCGTACCGGAAGATGTTTTTCTTCATCGTCGTGAAAAGCGCGTGCGCCGTTGCGCCTGCGATTGCGCGTGTTAAAAAGTGCAGCTGAGTGTGCGCTCGTCAAACGAAACGAGTTGTCAAAAATCAGTCTGTGAAATAAAATTAAAAAAAAAAGAGTTTTATAAATACGCGCCTTTATAATCTACATTCCAATTCAGACATTTTTGCAATGATTTTGAAATAATTTTATATCAAACAAATATTTTTATCATATATAACGATACTTGAAAACTGTCGTAAGAAGATGATATTACATATGATATCATATGTGTTTACTGCGAGATAAATATTACTACTAAAAAGGCATTCAATTGACGATTAAAAATAAGTGTGTTTATTGAAGAATAATATTTTAATGTTATATTTGTAGAAATAATACAATAATCAGTTTCAATACGTACAAAAACGCACAATGCGTAATTGACTTTTTTTCAGAATATTTATCCTTTTCCATACATCGGCGAATAATTAATATGAGACAAAAAATTACTTGAAACGTAACAATGACACGTTCAGATATACACGCTTTATGATATAACAATCTGTGGTGAGACTAATAAATATATGAATGGTGTGATACTTTTTTCAAGAACTTATATTAATTATACTGTTATATTCTTTTATAGAGATAGTGGGAAGATATAATGTGTAAGTACTCCATGGTTTACAAATCTGTGATTTGTCTCAATAAACACTTTTAAAAATATTGCAAGAATCGTCATCAGTGTCTACTCAGAAAAATATTTACTATTCAAAGATATCAATGAATGACGATAGGAAATAGATAAGTGTTGAGCGTTCTAAAGTTTAACAAATTAACGGTTACATGAGGTATACGATATACATATATCCAATACAAAAAAAAAAATCGGAAAAATTTAAACTATTCGAAGATATCAATGAATAACGTATAGGGAAATAGATAAGTTGTAATTCGGAAATATCGTGAGATAAGATGAGATAAGGTTCTAACGGAGCAATATCACAATACGTATCACAATATGTTTTTGAAAACATCAGATACATGACTTTATCGAAAAAAAAAAAAAAAAAAAATGATTAACATATTAAAACTTTCTGTACAATAATTGTCTTTTATATTTTGTTATTAATGCCACATATATTTTGGTTAATTTTTCTTTTAATTTCTTTTTACTCTTCTTCAAACGATAAGTTGTAATTCGGAAATATCGTGAAATAAGATAAGATAAGGTTCTAACGCGGAGCAATGTCACGATACGTATCACAATATATTTTTGAAAACATCAGATACATGACTTTATCGAAAAAAAAAAAAATGATTAACATATTAAAACTTTCTGTACAATAATTGTCTTTTATATTTTGTTATTAATGCCACATATATTTTGATTAATTTTTCTTTTAATTTCTTTTTACTCCTCTTCAAACGAGTAATAGAAAAAAACGTCAAATAAATTTATACAAAAGTCGATATGATAATTCCGCTTTTTGATAACACATTGTGTATTTTATCTTACTTCAATTATTTATAAATATATTCTTGCACAATATTTGCGTCGCTATCTGGTGGAACTTTGGATGTTGTGTTTTACTGATTTCTATAATAATGTTTCTATACATTATGTATTTTTCATGACAAATAATAAAACAATAGATATTAATGAAACTCCATATTATTTGCGCGCAGCATACACACACATAAATTTGGATATATAAAAAATGTTGTTATTTTTCTTAAGAAATAATAAGGCCAAACACATGTAAAAAAATTCTCAGTGTACGCGTTAATAAGCATTTTTTCAAGCACTTTATATTAATCTATGCTAATTGTAAGATCTAAATTATTTTTCTTTTTTTATTACGTGTAATTACTTAAAATTAATGTAATTAAAGTATTGCGCCGTACTTATTATTATTTATTAATCCTTCAGCCTGACGGCCAAGAAGGGAACTTGGTTACATTTCTTACAATTTTCTTTCTACATATATCTTATCCTATTACATATCTCATTTTTGCGTACGCATGTTATCTCTATTACCCTTCCTGCTCTGCCCTGCTCTGTCTAATCTCTTCTCTCCTTCTCATTTCTAACCTACCCTTTGAAATATATACTTTACAACATACAAAGTATCACAGCTTTGGTTTGGTTTTAATTTACCCTATTTTATCTTACACACACGTCCTTCTATATTCCTCCCTCGCGGACATATTTCATATATTACATATATTACATCATCTTATATTACTCTGTTTTTCTTATATATCTTATATCCCTTAACTTATCTTATCTTATCTTAGTTAAATTAGTTTCTTCTCTACCCTTAGCCCTTATACGTTTCCTAGTTCTTCCTTTCTTTTAGTTAATCTACCTCTCTTTCCTCCTCCTCTTCCATCATCTGACTAGAGTTTTCTTTTTCTATCTTTTTTTTCTCTCTGAGTCTTTTTTCTTTTTCTTTCCACAGCCTTACTAAAACCTTACCTTTTGTATTGCGCCGTACTTTAATGAGTCACATTTAACGGATTATAGAGAAATATTACAAACTACCAATACACGAACTTTTGATATAGTTTTCGACCAATTTCATGACACGCATAAGTTCTATGTAGGGGAACGCTTCAACAAACTACGAGTCAGTTTTAGTCCGCGCAAAGCTTCGATACAACAGGTAGGTAAAGTGTACTATGTGAGTTGAATTGTTTAAAATTACGTTACACACCGTTGTAATTATAATATTCAATTTCAGCTAATTTCGTCGCGGAAAAATTTTATGACCTATCACCAATTAGCATCACCAATAACAGATAAGTCATATTCTAAGGGTTGAATTATTTAACACTGTTGTAATTACAATATTCTATGTGTAGTTTTAGCTAGTCTCGTCGCGGAAATATTTTATGATTTTTTCAAGTTTTATTATTTTATAAAAGCAAAACACATTTCTCGGTGGAAATAAAAAAACATTTTATATGAATATATTTATACGTTCAACGTGCAATATTTTAGCAAGTGTTTTGCAGCATCAGTTGGAATAAACATATTATTTTTACCGAAACTCTTCAAGTGCAAACATACGGTATAATTTTTATTTATTATTTTTTATAATTCTACAATCCAAACATCCGTGACTATAATAAAGAATCATTAACTCGAGTGTTTTTTTTTTTGCAACGGCGGTTCATTACAGTGACCATCTATGAAATCGCGAAACACAAAATCGAAAAGAAGCATTACCGATTTAACTTCGTATTTTGTGTTAGAAAATTATCATCAAAATATGGGGGTGTATTTCTTCTTCATCATGTAAGAGTTATAACATTTCTACAATTGTGGAATAGAAATGTGTTTTCATATCAATATTAATTTTATTTATTTCTCGTGTTTGCAACGTAGAGTTACTCTGGCGACTATAACGTGCGCGAACGTAGCCGATATATATAATAATAAGTATAAATACTGCACCACTGATGAATGTATATACGCAGGTAGGTATACATTTATAAATTACATGTTATATATAATATGTTGACTTTATAACTTGTTCTATTTATGTTTGACCACTTAAATATTTTTTTTTGTTTTTTTACTGTGTTTCGATAGCTTCAGAGATTATAGACAGTATTGACGAAAAAGTTTATCCTTGCGATAATTTTTACATGTTTGCTTGTGGCAGATGGATAAAAAATAATTCACTGAATCAGTCGTACGCGATTAACATATTGTCAAAAATCAAAACGAAAACAAAGAAGCAACTTCAAGGTAATTAGGTAGTTTTGTTGTAAATTTACTATGAGTCTAAAAATATACATGTGCAAATTTGTACGAGAGAAAAATGTAAAAATATTTATTTATTTCTACAAAATAGACGATAACGTTTTCACTTTATTCCTCGAGTCTATTTCACTCGATATAAAGTCACTCTAGTCAAAAATCAAAAATTACAAAAAACAGTCAATTATCACAAGAACATAATGTACAGAAATAACTATAGATTGAACACACTCAGTCACAACGAAAATATAAACAGTTTTATTTTCTTGCTGTGCGCGTAAATAACTGAAAATTTTGAATCATAAATTTGTACTATCTCATGGCACAATTCCTAAACGGATGCTCTTCGATCTTATTAATTAATTATTATTTGAAAAAACTGCAAAAAAATGTAATCTGCACGTGTAATTTCATGAAAAGATAATATTTGTTGTTTTCCATAGACTTTATAAGTACATGACGAGAACTAAATTCATGGGGATGGGAACAATGACAATCGATCCTTTGCGCTAAATACTCGCGGTGAAAATACGAATTAATATGTAATTTCTTGAGTCTTTGACCGCAAAATGACGACAATTTGTTTATGTTGTATATGTGATGGCTAAAAAATCATCTGCTTGCTTCAGTGCAAAACAAAAAATTGAAAGTTCGCGCACATTGTCAGTTATTGGCCGCGTTTAGAAGATCAATCAACGAGTTGTCTTGTCAACACTCGACGTCGATTAGTCGGTTCTAAAAGTAGGAGGCAATCACGTTCGATTGTTACAAAGCAGCTTGTTCCGCTGAACGTGGCCAATCAGTGACAATGTGCGAAAACTTTCAATTTTTTTTTTTGCACTGAAGCAATGTTTCTGAGGCAGTAAAGAAGAAATTACGGTTGAAACAAAAACCTATAGTACTATGATTTCTTTTTTTTTCTTGTATTGCACATAAATACCCGGTAAAAAATTTTTCATGTATAAAATTGTATAGACATATTCGGCATATAAATTTGCATAATTAGATATAATTATTTTAATTTGTGTATAAGTATATATAATTATATATCAAAACTTTTTTAAAAATATAGTAAAAATATAGTTTTATATAATTTTTTGTATTTGACATGATACTAATAGAGTTATTTTGTAATTTGATATGGAATATCTCTGTAAAGCCATTAAAGCCTCTTAAAAAAGAAATTCTCCGTGTATAAAATTGTATGGACATATTCGGCATATAAATTTGCATAATTAGATATAATTATTTTAATTTGTGTATAAGTATATATATAAAAAATTTTTTACCGGGTATTTATAATTAATGTAACTAAATCTCTGCGTGTCGCACTTTAAATCCTATTATTACAAATTAGAATAAAGGTAATGTAAGATTTACGAATATGACTGTTTGTATATAACTTTGGATCGTACACGTGCCGTCGTACACTCAAACACGAGCATGCCACGTGGTTTTGGTATAAACATATAGAGACGTTCTATCTCACGTTACCGAAACCTTAAATAGACTTAGTCAGGTTTAGCCAGCGCACTGCTTCGATGGTTGGTAAGAGTGGCATGCTGAAAATAAGATTTAGTTAAGATTACATTAACACTGTTAGAATTTCACACATAACGTGTACTTTTTAGATGATTTCGTCTCGGAATTTACTTTTACGTCTGACTATTTCGAAAGAAATTAGAACACTATTTATCAACAAAAAGCTAAAATATCTCTCGTTGGATTAAAACACCTCATGTAGATATATGCGTCTTAAATACTCTACGACATTTGAACAGCACATTACTCGACGTATATTACATATGAGTCTTAATTAAACTATCCAGGCGCAAATATACGGTATAGTTTGTTTTTTTTTATTTATTGTTTTATTTATGTAACTCAATGTTTTTCTATATCTGTAATTGGACATTTCCGACTGTAAGAAAAATTTAATTCGAGCGTTTTTCTTTTTGCGACGGCAGTTCATTAGTGACCATCTTTGAAATCGCGAACACAAAGTCGAAAACCGAGCGCTGCCGATTCACCTTTGTATTTTGTGTTACACATTTCTCACACTATGGGGACGTACCGTTTCTTTATGTAAGAGTTATTATTTCTAACATTACAATTATGTGTAGTATAACAATTCTATAATTGCATATGTCTCTATATAACGATATTAATTATATTATTTCTCGTTTCGTATTTAACAAATTTTTGCAGAGTTTTTTTGATAGCTGTAACGTACGCGCATGTTACGTTTGGCGATGCGGCGACGAACAGTCAATATACGTTATGCGCCACTAATGAATGTATAAACTCAGGCATGTGTATAAATTACGTATTACATTTTTACTTTTATTATTTGTTTCATATGTATGACCATTTAATAGAAAAATTTATTTCTATAGCTTCGGAGATTTTATCGAAACTCGATCGTACCGTTGATCCTTGTGACAATTTTTACAAATTTGCCTGTGGCGGATGGTTACAAAATAACCGAGCAAATCAGTCATTTCCAAAAATTGACTTTTTCTCAGTGCTCACAAGAAAAACAGCGAATCAGCTTCGAGGTAATACAGTTTATATAATAAATATGAATATATGTTAGTATATAATGAATAAAAATCTTATGTGTCACACGAATTTATGTACATGTAACATTCCGACGATTTGTCGGTTGCAGAAATGTTAGAAGCATCGAATAAGCCAGGTGATACTATGTCTTTGCTAAAAGCGAAACATGTATTCGCGCAGTGCATGGAAGGTATGTGTCACTACATTATCAAAAGTAATTATCACGAATGCTTTTAATTTAGGAAACTACAATGTATTTAAAATGTACAAAATAAAAAAAATACGATTGTTGCTTTAATTTTCAAAAGATAGTGAACCAGTCGGTAGAAGTAACTTGAGCGCTATTGTAAATAGTTACGGCGGATGGCCAATAGTTATGTCTCATCACGATTGGAATAAGAAAAATTTGACGTGGCAAGATATTAGCACCATTATACATGAAAAACAGTTTGACAACGGTCTTTACAATATATACGTGTTTATAGATAGCAAGATGTCCAACAGTAACGTTATCTATGTATGTATATTATCGCAAGAGAATAATAAAAATAGCAAAAATTGATTACACACTCGCAAACAACAAATGGTATGCAAACAGGTCGGAAAAAAATAATTTAATGAAAATTAAACCTGTTTAGATTCTTGAACCTCCATTTTCTGCATCTCAAGACGACATAATTAAGCTGAACAACACTGTTTCACGAAACGAAAGCGCTAACTCCGACATCGTAAGCTTTGCGAAACGTCTCATAGAAGAAACTGGCCAAATCGTCGAGATGGATAATCTTATTCAAGACGCACTTGACATGTTACAGTTTGAGATGGAACTGGCTAACGTTAGTATGAACATTTATGATGTTACAAAATACGTCATTTAAATAGTTTTATGTATTAATGATTTGCTCACAGTTAACAAGCACCGAGGAAAACCTGATAGACGTTGATAAATATTACATTCCGTTAACAATTCAACAATTACAAGAAGAGTACGACAAGAAACATCCCGGAATGAATGGGAAGGTGTGAATCTTATTCGGTTACATATTTTATTATATAATTTCTAAACAAAAAAAATTTATTACAGATAGACTGGCATTCAAGTATTCAGGAAGTGTTTGCATCGGAAGGAATCGCGATTGAACCGTCTGAAAAGATCATCGTTCCAGCGTATAAATATCTCACCAATTTGGTACCGTTGTTAGAGCGAACACCGTCACGTACTATTGGTAAAATTTTCGGACTAGTAAAGTTCAATAGACTGATATATTAATAAAATGATAAGAAAATTATGTTATCAACCCAGCTATGTTGAATTGTAATTGCAGTTAATTTCATGATATGGACTGTAATCAAAAAGTTTTCTGACTATATCAAACCACAGAAAGTAAACAGTATCGCTATAATGAACGTGGTCAGTGAACAATCGGGAGAAAATGATACAAAGTGGATAAGTTGCATAAACAAACCCAACTTAAAATCTGCTATTTCGCATGAATACATCAAGAAATACGTATCGTTCGAAAACATACAGGACGTAAGTTGACTTTTTGCAATTAAAATAAACTCGTATAATATTAGTAACATGAATTTAACTGATTTTTGAAAATAAAATTATTTCAGATCAAAGAAATAACTACGGACATTAAAGACGCCATTCGTCAACAAATACAAAACGTCACATGGATGGACGAGCCTACAAGAGTGGCGTCTCTCGAGAAACTCGAGTATATGAGGCACGAATTTTTTAAGCCCGACTGGTACAGCGACGAAGCTATTGACGGATATTACGAAGACGTAAGTGCATTTTCTAGAAGCAAAAAATTTCTAAAAAGTAAAACTTGTTTTCTTTTCTTTTGCGATGAAAGAAGAGAAATACAAATATTTTATACTTTTGTATTTATTTATCTATTTATCTGTTTATGTATTATGTGACGATTCTTTCCAAAGAAGCATTTTCTGTTATGCATTTTAGCTGAACATCACTATGGGATATCTGGACAATATCATAAATATATTGAAATTCGAAAGAAAGAAAAGGATAAACTTGCTAAGGACACCCGCAGACAAAAAACAGTATTGACGTTTTGCAATTTATATTTTTCATGTATAATATGTACTTCATAATATCTTATACTTACTTTACTGTTTGTAGATGGTTTTTTGAACCGACAAATCCGCAGGCATACTACTCCCAGTACATCAATAAAATCGGTAAGGTTCTAAATAATAACTGGTGATAAAACAGTTTTACTAAATTTTAATTTTTATTGTTAACATATTTCGTTATTTTTCTTGTGTAGTTTTTACTGCTGCTTTATTACAAAATCCTCTATATGACAGAAATCGTGTTGCGTAAGTGATACTATTATTTATAACATTTGTTAAAAAAGAAATCTTAAAAAACTTTTTGTATTTTGTAATAGGTTAATGAACTATGGAACGCTAGGATTTTGTGCAGGACATGAAATGAATCACGCCTTCGATCATATGTGTAAGTAACAGTTTTTCATTTTTCTGTCTCGATGAGAAAAATCCTCACTACAACGTATATTGAATTAGATCGTAAGCACGACAAAAATGGCAATGCTATAAAATGGTGGACACAAAAGACTATCGATGAGTACGAAATTATAACGCAATGTTTCATCGACCAATACAACGAGTATCTGGTTCCGAATCTAGAAGATATTCGTGTAAGTAAATTACGTGAAAGATCACAAAAGTGCGTCACTAAATGTTATTTTACTTTTGAGCTATTTTTAGAAATATTTTGTTTCTCAAAATTATTTATTCTAAAATGTTCTTGTGCTTTCTAAGCTGTATAGAATTATCGAATGTTTTCAGGTGAACGGACGACGGACGCTCGGAGAGAATATAGGCGATTCTGCTGGAATTGTTGCTGCATATTACGCGTACAAGAACAGAAAAGCAAGATTGAATGAAACAAAATGGCGACTGCAAGGACTGGAGGATTACAGCGAAGATCAGATCTTCTTCTTGTCTGCAGCTCAAGTGAGTATCTAATAAAGTTTACGAATATACAACTAAAGGTAACAGAAACTACTGTCAACGAATAGTCGGCGAAAATACGCACAATAGAAAATATTAAAGGTATTATCTCTTCTTCTAGTTATTCTGCGAAACTGCCATGCCGGAACAGATAAAGGAAAGTGTGTCGGACGAACATCCTGGAAACGAAATTAGGATTCGCGGCAGCTTTTCAAACTTTCGTGAATTCTCCAAAATTTACAACTGCTCCCCGGAAAAACCAATGAATCCCGAAAACAAGTGCGCACTTTGGTACTAAATCGACGAATCAAATAATAAAGAGAGAGAGAGAGACGTATGGAAGCATTTTAACGACAAAATTGTAAACGCGGTTTTCTTTCTTTTTTTAAGCAAACAATTCCTTTGTAATAATACATAAAGAACATCAGATATGTAATATATCAGTGCTTGTTAAAAAAAAAATATACATTTACAATAAAACATTTTTGAGTTTCTTTCACATGAATAAAACCTATCACAAAATTTGTGTAATTCGCGATCACACTATGAAATCGTCTTAAAATTTTTAATACTAGCACAACACAAGCGCGCGCTACGCGCACGCTATTATTATTTTCATTTTTATGTGTTGCATCAGTGAACACAACCTATCACCGCGATGACAGCTAATATATATATCTTATAAACTATGTAATACACCTACGAGAGATGTCAAAAATAACGCATAAAAATCAAACTCAAAAATCGATACCCGTGCGCTAAATACTCACTCGCGGAAGTAGAAATTAATATGCCATTTCTTTGACATGTATGTACGTGATTGAGGAATCATCGTTTCTTCAGTGCAAAATAACAATTTGAAATTTCCCGCCTATTATCAAATTTTGCGTATTACACTTTAAATCCCACTACTAGGAAGTACAGAGAAAAGCCACGAATTACACGAATGTGACTTCGTATACTTTCAGGTCGGTTTTACATGGCAAACATGAGCATGCCACGTGATTTTGATTCAAATATATAGGTCGTTCTCCTTTATGTTGCTTCATACTTTCAACAGAATTAGTCAGTTTCAGCCGACGCACCGCTTCGATTATGAGTAGGCAATATGCTAAGAGTTTAAATTAGGTAAGATCTCATTAACACTGTCAAAATTTTACATATAACGTATTTTGTTTTAGATTATTACGTCACGAACAAATTTTACGTATAACTATTTCAAAAGAAAACAAAACGCTATTTATTAACTAAAAGCTAAAATCTTTCATTGGATTAAGACACTTCATGTAGATATATGCGTAACACATGCGTCTTTAATGTACAAATTTGAACAACTTAATTTGAACAAGTATTACGACGCATTACTTGGCATATAAACATAAGTTGTAATTAAACTGTTCAGGCGCATATATATGGTATATAGTTTATATTTTATTTATTGGTTTTTTTATACCCTACATTTACTTTACATTTATTATGTACATTTCCGACTATAAGAAACACTTAACTCAAACGTTTTTTTGTTTGCGACGGCAGTTCGTTAATGACTATTTCTAAAATCGCAAACACAAAGTAGAAAACAAGGAAACTCAACGTGGTATTTTTGTGTTACAAAGTTATCACACTATGAAGACATACTGTTTCTTTATGTAAGAATTAATATTATTAACATTAAAATTATATATACTCTAAAACTTTTAGTGATGCATATATTTATGTCTAACGATGTTAATTATATATTTCTTATTTCGTATTTGGACATCATTTTTGCAGAGTTTTACTGATAGCTGTAACATACGTGCACGTTACGATCGGCGCTCTACCGCCAAACAATACTCTTTTATTTAATCCGCTTATGTTTTTTCCACCATTTGTTTAGTCAATATACGATATGCGCTCTACCGATGAATGTATAAACGCAGGCACGTGTATATCTTACGATTTACATTTTTGTTTTTATAACTTGTTCTATGTGTATGCCATTTATAAAGTAAATTTTATTTTTATAAATTAACAGAGATTTTAGCCAATATTAATCGTTTGATTGATCCGAGTGACAATCTGTACAAATTTCCTTGTGGCGGATGGTTACAGAATAATCAAGCACATCTGTTATTTTCCATAATTGACTTTACTCTCAGTGCTCTTTCTTACTTTCGAGACAAAATGATTCAGCTAAACAACAATCAGTGGCAGAAGGAAAGCTATACATTTGACACCGCAAGCGTTGCGAACAATCTTACAGAAGAAATTGACGGAACAGTTATAATGAATAAATTTATTCAAAATGCAATTGACATCTTACACTTTAAGATGGAACTGGCTAACGTTAGTACATACTATCATGATATTATAGTAACAAAAAATATGTTATTTAAGCATTTTTATGTATTAATGTCAATATTTTATTTGATTTGTTACATTATATTATATTATATATATTTAGTTTTTTGGTGTGCTATATATATATATACATTTTAAAATACTGGAAGATGTTTGATCACATTTTTTAATAGCCGATTGCATCAAATAATTATTCTTCTTGTATTACACTGCTTACAGTTGACAAGCATCGTAAAAGACCTCATGGACGTTGATACATTTATTTCGTTAACAATCCATCAAGTGCAAGAGGAATACGATAAACAACATCCCGGAATGAAAGGGAAGGTACGATTCCACGTTAATTATAAACATCACTATAAAATTTTTATGGTTACAATATTCATTCTAGATTAACTGGCATTTAACCATTCGAGAAATATTTGTGTCAGAAGGAATCGCGATAGAACTGTCTAAAGTGGCGGCTGCAAGGAGTGAAAGATTATAGCGAAGATCAGATCAACTTCTTACCTTACGCTCAAGTAGTATAATAAAATGTTACGAATATAACAAAAAGTATGAAAACTACAATCAATAAACAGACGGTAAAAATACATGGACTATATTAAAATCATAATTTTTTTTTTACTTTCTCTGCAAAAACTGCTCTGATGGAAAAGATACAAATTACTTCTGACGTTCATCCTGGAAGCGAAATTAGAATTTGCAGCAGCCTTTTAAATTCTCGTTAATTCTCGAAAGTTACACTTGCTCTCAGGAAACCTCAATTAATCTAAAGAAGTGCATCCTTTGGTTCTAGGCCGAAGAGATGAGAGGAAGCAACATATCTACAAATTTGTGAACGAGATATTCCTTCTGTAGCAAATATTTTGTAAAATTTACAATTATTATATTTCTAGATATACATACAAAACTCTGTGAGGAATTATAGTAAAATAACAATTTTTTTCAAATTGAAAAGAAATGTATAGTTTCAAACGCACAATTTTTGATATATTTAGTATGATTTTAGATCACTTGTAATGGGCACAATGTTTAGATCATTCACGATCTATCAAAAAGAAAATTGATCACTCTAGATTTCTTGATGCTCTATGATAAAAAGACTAGTTGAAATTCCTCAGAACTCAGTATGATATCTATGCGTACGAAACATAAATGAATATTTATATGTAAATCTTTATATGTAATACATATATGCTTGTGAAGAAAGACATGCGCAATAACATATTCTTGTATTCTCTTTGCATGAAAAAAACCTTCCCCAAAATTTCGCTCATCTATCTGGTATCGTTTCAAACTTTTTTATTATATATAAGGTAAAAACTTTGAAGTTGCATAAAATTCAAAGAAATATATATTTGGCTTTTCATTCCACTCCGCCAAAACCGACATTTACCATCTTTCGGACGATGCAGACATATACATGTTCTTTACTAAATAATCAGTCGTTTGCTGAGTTTTGTATATTTCAAAAATATAAAGTTCTATAAAATATTTGCGCATCACGATGCGATTAAAATGCAATTGCTCGACGCATAGGGGATTATGTTGTATATTCGTCAATCTATAAATACTCATTTCTCTCTTTTTCTCTCCCTCTCTCTCTCTCTCTCTCTCTCTTTCTTTCTCTCGCAGTAGAAATAAGACTTAATATGTACTCTCTGACTTATCACTGCAATTTAACTGAAATTTGTTTATTTTGTAGTCACATTTTAGCACTCGTGGAAAAACACAACTGACTCATTTGTCATTTCTTTGACATGTATATAAGTAAGTAAAGACTCAACGTTGCTTCAGTGTATAAAATAGAAAATTGAAATTTTGCGCACATTGTCACTTATTTCCCGCGTTTAGCAGAACAATTGCCGAATTGTCGTCTTGTCAACACTCAACGTTGATTTTGTGGTTCTAGAAGAAAGTGCCAATCACGTTCAATTATTACAAATGAGCTTGTACTTCTGAACGCAAGCAACCAATGACAATGTACGCAAGCTGTTACTTTTGCATGTTGCACTGAAGCAACGCATTAGTAGCTCATTGAAGAAGACCTGAATTTAGAATACAAACGAAAAAATATAGTAATGCTTTTTTTTCTTGTAATACACATAAGTAATTATTCTTAATGTAAGTAGATCCTTGCGTATCGCACTTTAGGTTCTACTACTACGATTTACAGAGGAGAGCTACGAATTCCAAATGTGATTGTTTGTATAATTTTAGTTCGTTTACACGACAAACACGAGTACGCCACGTGTTTTTGATACAATCATAAAGAGACGTACCCTCTTGCGTTGCTCTAAACTTTAAACAGAATCAGTTAGGTTCAGCGCACCGTTTCGATTGCAGGTAAATACTATACTAAGAGTTTTCAAGCAGTTAAAACTATAGTAACAATGTCAGTTTTACATATAACGTATACTTTTTTAGATGACTACGTTTCAAGCAAAATTTACGTATGACTAGTATTTATTAACTAAAATCTCTCGCTAGATTAAAACACTTCATGCAGATATATGCGTATCAAAAGTGTCTGTAATGTACGACATTTGAACAAGTTACAACATTACACTTGGCATATAAACATGAGTTTTAATTAAATTGTTGAGACGCAAATATATGGTATACTTTGTTTTATTTATTGTTTTTTATTTGAACTTTATTCTTTGAATATTTTCGATTCCAAACAATTTGATTCGAGTGTTTTTTTTTTGTGACGGCAGTTCATTAGTGAATATCTTTGAAATCGCGAACAAAGTCGAAAACAACAAGTGTGGATACAACTTTGTATTTTGTGTTACACATTAATCACACTATGAAGACGTATCGTTTCTTTATGTAAGAATCAATATTTGTAACGTTAAATTTATATCTACCGTAACAATTTTATTGGCGCATTATTTATGTCGAACAAACTCAATTATATATTTCTCTTCTCATAATTGAAACACTTTTGCAGAGTTTTTCTGATAGCTTTAACATACGCGCTTGTTACGCTCGGCAATCCGGTGACAAACAGTCATTATACATTATGCGCCACTAATGAATGTATAAACGCAGGTACGTGTAGAAACTATGTATTACAGTTGTTGAGTTCTAACTTATTTTTTATGTATACCATTTATAAGTAAAGTTTATTTCTATAGCTTCGGAGATTTTAGCCAAATCTAATCATTCGGTTGATCCGTGTGACAATTTCTACAAATTTGCTTGTGGTAGATGGTTACAAAAGAACCAACCAAATAAATTATTTCCACAAATTAACTTTATATCACTTCTTAAAAGAAAAGCAAAGTATCAAATTCGAGGTAAAATTTAAGTATATTTTCTTTTTGTTTAATGTTCTATATTTGTGTATATATTCAACCAAAGATATATATAAACGGAAGGTCAAATTTATGTCTAAGTAATATTAAAACGGACTAAAAGTGTGTTTGATGTAAAGTATTTATTTTTAATTGATAGAAAATTTTTAGTACTATCGTTTTACTTATTTGAGTCTTTCGGTCAAAATACAAATATTTAAATTTATTAATTACAAAAAAATAAAATGTACAAAATTTATGTCAGTTATTATATTACCAGAACATAGTATATAATTGTTATCATTCTCTTGCTGCGTGTTATTGTGTGCTTCGTGCACAGCAAAATGGAAGAGTTTGAAGTTGGAAAATGGTTACTCTCAGTGGTGACACCTACGGACGGACTTTTGTATGCGCATCAAGTTCTTGAAACAAGTATAATGAAACCAAAAGTCACGAATGGTTTAGAAATCCGAAAATATCATACCGCTGTAGACAGTATAAAATACAATGTGCAAAGACTGATAAAGTTCTTACATTTTATATAAATCTGTTGAATTTATTTATTTTAGTTATGTTTAATTATTTATTCAATATTCGAATATTACATAAATATTAAATAAATAGTAGAACAACAAATTATTTTACAGTATATAAATTTACGTGTATGTGTCATTCTGTTGATTTGTTGTCTGCAGAAATCTTAGAAGCACCGATTAAGCCAAGCGATACTACGTCTTTGATAAAAGCAAAAGTTATATTCGCGCAGTGCAAGTATAAAGGTATGTGACCATATAATAATAAAAATATAAGTGTTATCACGAATACTTTCATTTAAAATATTATATATAATAAGTTAAATATATAAAATAAAGAAAACAATATTTTTGTTTGTCAGAAAAGAGTGAAACTTTCGGTATGAGTAACTTGAACGCCATTGTAAATAGCTACGGCGGATGGCCAATAATTATGTCTCGTCACGAATGGAATGAAAGAAATTTGACTTGGCAAAATGTTAGCACTATTTTGCACAGAAATAAGCTTGACAACGGCTTGTATACTATAGAAATTTTTAAAAATGTTCTAATGTCCAACAGTAACGTTATCTATGTAAGTATTTTATATTAAAAAAAAATACATTAGAAAATACAATAATAAATTTTACAATCGTAGTATAATATGTATTTTATTACAACCAAGAGGGTAATAGAGAAAACAAAAATTATTATGCTTTTGCAAATAACGACACATATAAATTAACGATAATTAAAACCGTTCAAAAAGGTTACATAATAAATAATACATTTGGATTTAGATTTTGGAACCTAAACTTTCTTATTCTCGAGACGTAATGATTCATTTAAACAACACTGAGGAGTCGAAAAAAAACTATATATCCAACATCGTAAACGTTGCGAGTAATCTTATAGAAACAATTGGCAGAACAGTAAAAATGAATAAACTTACTCAAGATGCACTTGAAATTTTGTACTTTGAGATGGAACTGGCTAACGTTAGTATGAACAATTATGATATTAGTAAAAAAATTACGAAATTTATTTTTATGTCTTAATTTCATGATAGTTCTATCGCAGTGTTACATTATGAAATATATTTATTTAATATATGTATTTTTTTTAATGTCAATATATGTATATGTGTGCGTGTATTTGGCACCAAAGAAAAACTATATATATTTTTTTTATATCGGAAGATCTTTCGTCCGTTTTTTATTAGACGATTTTATCAACTGACAAGTCTTTTTGTACTATATTGCTTACAGTTGACAATTATTTTAAACACAACAAACAATAATGATTTATTCATTCCGCTAACAATCCAACAATTGCAAGAAAAGTACGACAAGCAACATCCCGGAATAAAAGGGAAGGTGCGATTTAATACTATAGTACTTATAAACTACACATTATATATCACATATTTTTTATTCATGAATAACATATTCATTACAGATTGACTGGCACTCAGCCATTCAAGAATTGTTTGCATCAGAAAGAATCCCAATTGAACAAACTGAAAACCTCATCGTCCCAGCGTATACATATCTTAGCAATTTGGTATCGGTATTAGAGCGAACACCGTCACACACTATTGGTAAAATTTTCTTAATAGTGAACTTCAAAACAATATAATATATTATAAAATACTCCGAAAATTATGTAATAAACTCAACGATGTAAAAATTGTAATTGCAGTTAATTTCATGATATGGAGTTTAATCAAAAAGTTGTCTGATTACATCAAACCACAGAGAGCAAGTGCTCGCATTATACTAAGTGCAGACGATAAACAACTGAAAAAAAACAAATCAAAGTGGAAGAAATGCATTAACACGCGCAACTTAGATTCTGCTATTTCGCATGAATATGTCAAGAAATACATATCGCTCGAAACCGTACAAGACGTAAGTTTGCATTTAAAATAAATACGTATAATAACCTGAAAAATTAATATATGCATACAATAACTTTAAAGTAAATATACACATGTAAAATAAAAGTAATTTGTACTCAAAAATTAAATCATTGTAGATCACAGAAATAAGTACAGATATTATAAACGTTGTTCGGCAACAAATAAGAAACATCACATGGATGGATGAGCCTACAAAAAAAATGGCTCTCGAAAAACTTGAATATATGAAGCAAGAATTTTTTAAGCCCGATTGGAACAGTGACGAAGCTATTGACAGATATTACAAAGACGTAAGTATATCTTCTAGCAAAATATTTCTAAAAAGTAGAACTTAGTTACTACGTTTTCTTCGTGTTTTGTGATAAAAAAAAATAAAAGTACAAATAATTTACATTTGTATATGTAATTATCTATTTATCTATTTATTTGTTTATGTATTGTTGCAAATCTTTCTACAAAAAACATTGGTTTTATGCATTTTAGTTGAACGTCGATACGAACTATCTGGACAACATTATAAATATAATGAAATTCGAGAAAAAGAAATTGATAAACTCGCTGAGGACACCCATAGACAACAAAAAGTATGGATTTTTTGCAATTCATTTTGTCATTATGTACTGTGACTTACACATGCTATACGTATAAGAAAGTTGGTATACATAAATTATGAACTTTATAATACTTATATTTTTGTTTAATAGATGGTTCAGTGAACCGACAACACCGCACGGATACTACAATATCTTTTTCAATAGCATCGGTAAAGTTTTTGAGTAATAATTAATAATAAAATGAGTTTTTACAATTTATTTTTATTATTAACTTTCTTTTTATTTTGTTATATTTTTTATGTAGTTTTCACTGCTGCCTTGTTACAAAGTCCTACATATGACCGAAATCGTATTCCGTGAGTACTGTTATGTAATAATATTTTTCGAAAAACAGAACGTTTTAACAAAAATTTTTCAAAACAAAATTTTTAACTCTTACGTAATAGATTAATGAATTACGGAACGCTAGGTGTTGGTATTGGACATAATATCAATCTCGCCTTTGATAAAGACAGTAAGTAATTTCCTGTTATTCTATCAAAGAAAAAAATTGCAGTACAACGTATTTATTACAGATTTTAACGTGGACAAAAATGGCAACATTGTGCAAACGTGGACACAAAATTCTATCGATATACATAACAATTTATCGCAATGTTACATTGACCAATACAATAAGTATCTGGTTCCGGGACTGGAACAGGAAAATGTTTATGTGAGTAAATTAAAAAAAAGCATAGAAAGTTCGGATAAAACATTCTTTATTTTTAACATATTTAGTAAAATTTCATTTCACACAATAATTTATAATTATTATAGTTTTACATATAATTAATTGGTTTTGTTAGGTGAACGGACAACGGACGATGGACGAGAACACGGTTGATGCTACTGCAATTGTTGCTGCATTTTACGCGTACAAGAACAGAAAAGCAAGATTAAATGAAACAGAGTTGCGGCTGCAAGGATTGGAACAGTATAGCGAAGATCAGCTTTTTTTCTTGATTGTTGCTCAAGTAAGTATCTATTAAAGAATGTACAATGAGATGTATAAAAACTACGGTCAATGAACAGACGCTGAAAATACATGGACTAGAAGATATTAATATCATCACTTTTTTTAGTTTTTCTGCGCAAGTGCTCTGCCAGAAAAGATAAAGAGTGTTCCTGACGATATTTCTGTAAACGAAATAAGAATTCGCGGCAGTTTTTCAAATTCTCGTGAATTCTCCGAGAGTTATAATTGCCCTGTGGGAACTCCAATGAATCCGGAGAAAAAATGTGCTTTTTGGTTCTAAACTGATGAGACGTAAATGCCACATGCTTACAAATTTGGGAGCGCGATATTTCTTCTGTAGCAAACATTTTTAGTGTATGAAATATTTACAATCATTATATCTTTAGATATGCATACTGAATTCTGTGAAACATTAGCAATTACGGCACACTAACGATTTTCTTGGATTAAAAAAAATGTACAGTTTCAAACACATAATTTTTGCTTGCAGTATGAGTTTTAATTAATTGTAAGTGCATATACTGATTAGATTATTCACGATCTATCAAAAACAAAAAGAAAAAAATAATTTAAAAACTGGTAGTTTTATTGATAGATTATGACAAAAAGACTAGTTGAAATTTTTTTCAGATGTCAGTATGATATCTACGCATACAAAACATACGTGAATATTTATATGAAAAGATTTCTATGTAATATACATATATGCTTGTGAAGTAAAACATATGCAATAACATATTCTCGAGTTTTTTTTGTTGCATGTATAAAACGTTTCACGAAGATTCATCACACATCTATTTGAAAATAATTAAATTACATTTTTCTTTCTACGTGAAATTCCGGTTTTCTTTACACTCAAGTCAAAAAAATTTTCTTTACTACTACAAGTCAAAAACGAAAACTACAATCTGTTTCGAATAACCCAAATATACATTCCAATAAATCGTTCGGAGAATAATAATGTATTGTAATGTATGTATAAGTATAGGAACTGCAGAAAGTTTAATTTTTATTGTTGTTACTTATGTATACAACAGAAACAAAAACAAACTTAACAATTTCAAGATTGAGTAGAAAAATTTTCTAATAAATTCTACGTCGTTTGCTATTTGCAGTATATTTCAAAAAGAATGAAGTTCTAACATACACTCACGATACGATTACAATACATCTGCTTGACGAAGAAAGGATTTTGTATATTTGTCGATCCAGTATGATTATATCGTCACTCGCGGTGACGGTAGAAATTAATATGTAATCTTCGGATTACGACTGCAAGTTTGCACTAACTTATTTGTGGTATATTTATTTCTTATCGTTAGTAGTCAAAAAATGCAATGGATTAATGTGTTCTCTTTTCTACACATGTGTATGTGATGGAAAAGAACTTTTGTTGCTTGAATGCAAAATAAAAAATTGAAACTTTGCTCATATTGTCATTTATGTCCCGCCTTTAACAGAATAATTGCCGAGTTGTCGTCTTGTCACCACTCAACGTTGATTTTGTGGTTCTAGAAGAAAAAGCTAATCACGTTTGAATATTACAAATGAGCTTGTACTGCTGAACACGGGCAACCAGTGACAATGTGCGTAAGCTGTTACTTTTGCATGTTGCACTGAAGCAACGTTAGTAGCGCATTGAAGAAGACCTGAATTTAGAATACAGACAAAAAAATATAATAATGCTTTTTTTTTGTACTACTCGTATAAGTAATTATTTTTAATGTAAGTAGATCCTTGCGTTGCGCACTTTAGGTAGATTTTTGCATATCGCACTTTAGGTAGATTCTTGCGTATCGCACTTTAAGTTCTACTACTACGATTTACAGAGGAGAGCTACGAATTCCAAATGTGACTGTTTGTATAATTTTAGTTCGTTCACACGACAAACACGAGTATGCGACGTGATTTTGACATAAACATAAAGAGACGTACCCTCTTGCGTTGCTCGAAACTTTAAACAGTGTCAGTTAGGTTTAGCGTATCGTTTCGACCGTAGGTAGATTTTGTGTTAAGAGGTTTTGAAGAGTTAAAGCTATAGTAACACTGTCAAAACTTTACATGAAAGAAATTTTACATAAAACGTATACTTTTTTTTAGATGACTACGTTTCAAACAAATTTTACGTATGGCTCTTTTGAAAGAAAGTAGAAATGTTTATTAAGTAAAAGCTAAAATCTCTTGTTGGATTAAAACACTGCATGTTTAAATAAGCGTCTTTACTGAACAACATTTGAATAAATGTTACGACGTATTACTTGACATATAAACATAAGTTTTAATTAAAGTGTTGAGGCTCAAATATATGGTATACTTTATGGTATGATTATGGTTTGGACTTATTTAACTTTATAGTTTGAACATTTCCGATTATAAAATTTTTACTCGAACGTTTTTTTCTATTTATGACGACAGATTATTGGTGACTATCTTTGAAATCGCGACAGTTGAGAACAAGAAGTTCCGATATAAATTTGTAGTTTGTGTTACAAATTTAACACACTATGGAGATCTATCGTTTTTTTATGTAAGAGTCATTATTTTTAACGTTAAAATTATGTCTACTTTAATAATTGTATTATTGCATCATTTATGTCTCACAAACGTAATTATATATTTCTTGTTCCGTAATTGACACACTTTTGCAGAGTTTCTCTGATAGCTCTAACATACGGACACGTTACGTTTGGCCATCCGGCGACGAACAGGCAATATACGTTATGCGCCACTGATACATGTATAAACACAGGCACGTGTAGAAACTATGTGTATTGAGTTTATATCTTATTTTATGTACGTTATTTATAAGTAAAATCTATTTTTATAGCGTCAGAGATGTTGGCCAAACTCAATCGTACCGTTGATCCATGTAACGATTTTTACAAATTTGCTTGTGGTGGATGGTTACAACATAAGCAAGCGAATGTGTCATTTTCTGAAATTAATTTTTTGTCAGAGCTTCGAAGGAAAACAATGAACCAGCTTCGAGGTAATACAGTTTTAATATTAATTTTTTTTGTTACTTTTTTTCGAACAAAAATACATATTATAAAACAAAAGTGTGAAAGTATGCCTACGTAAAATTAAATTAAGTACTTGAAGGTAAATATTTATTTATTGATAAAAAAGTGATGGCAACATGTTTTCACATTACTCGAGTAATTATTCGAGACTCTATTATTCACGACGAAAATGTTTGACACTAATAAATACCAAAAATCTAAGGTACAAAAAGTTTTTTGATATACTACAAGAATAAAATATGTAATTGTTATTTAACTGATATATGCAACCGCATGAAAGTATATACGTTGTAACAATCAAAAAAAAAAAAGAGAAAGGTATAAGAATACATGAAACTAAAAAACAAATTCTTGCTTCGTGTTGATGTGTATTTTGTGCGAAAGCAACTGACGATTTTTAAATTTGAAAATTATTTTCTCTCAGTAAACATCTACAAACGGATTTTGTGTATGCGCGGTACGTTCATAAAACATTCGATTTTAATGGAACCAGAAATCACAAATGTTCTAGAATTCTAAAAATTTTGTCTTTTTGTAGATAGCATAAAATATTTTACGCAAAGACTGATTCATTTTCTTCTATTTTATAGCAGAAATACGTTTGAATCTATTTATCTTTGTCTTAATTGTGAATTAAAGAGTAGAACAAAAACTTATTTTACAGTATATAAATTTACGTGTGTGTGACATTCTGCCGATTTGTTGTCTGCAGAAATCTTAGAAGCACCGGCTAAGCCAAGCGATACTACGTCTTTACTAAAAGCGAAACGTATATTCACGCAGTGCATGGATAAAGGTACGTGCCATTATATCGAAACTACACTAATTATCAAGAATGCTTTCACTGTAAAAAAAACTATAATATCTAAAATGTATAAAATAAAAAAAACAATTATTTTTTTCTCAGAAAATAACGAAATGTTCGGTATAAGTAACTTGAGCGCCATTGTAAATAGCTACGGCGGATGGCCAATAGCTATGTCTCGTCACGAATGGAATAAAAAAAATTTGACTTGGCAAAATGTTAGCTCCATTTTGCATAAAAATGAGTTTGACAACGGCCTTTATATCGTAGAAGTATCTCAAGATTTCAAGATCGCCAACAGCAACGTTATCTATGTATGCAAAATAATTACAGTCGTACAAATTTATTGTAAATTATATTCGATAGTATAGTATATACTAAATATACATATTATTTGGGCAAGAAAGTAATAAAAGTAGTAAAAGTGATTATGCACTTGCTAACAACGCATACACACATGATAAACAGACCACCGTTTAGAGCTAATTGTACAATGAAACTTACATTTATTTTTAGATATTTGAACCTTCTTTTTCTTACTCTCGAGACGAAATGATTCAGTTAAACAACATTGTTTCGCAAAAAACAAGTTTAATAGTCAAAATTGTAAAGGTTGCAAAAAAACTTATAAACAGAACGGTAGAAATCGATAACCTTTTTCGAGATGCGCTTGACATCGTGCACTTTGAGATGAAACTAGCTTACGTTAGTATGATCAGTTATCAATATTAATATTAAAAATTACGTCATTTTAATATTTTTGTATATTACTGATTTCGCAACTATCAATCAATGTTTTACATTACAAAATATATTTATTTGTTTTGGTGTTTTATTTTATTTTTCCTATAATAGACGTTGTTTATTTAGATTTTTTACTAAAGAATTCGATTGCATCAAATAACTATTTTTCTTATTTTCTAATGTTCACAGTTGACAGGAATAATTGAGGAAACCTCGACAGACGTTGATACATTTATTCCATCAACAATCCAAAAATTGCAAGAAAAGTACGACAAGCAACATCCCGGAACGAAAGGGAGGGTGCGACTCGATGTTAATTATATATATTTTATTATATAACTTCTATACATTTCTATACATAAATTGTTTATTACAGATTGACTGGCATTCAAGTATTCAGGAATTGTTTGCATCGCAAGGAATCGCGATTGAACCGTCTGAAAAGCTTCTCATACCAGCGTATAATTATCTTATCAATTTGGTACCGTTGTTAGAGCGAACACCGCCACGTACTATTGGTAAAACTTTTGAAAAAGTGAAATGCAAAAGAGATATATTATAAAAAAATAAAAAAATTATGTTATTCACTCGATGTTGAATTGTAATTGCAGTTAATTTCATGATATGGACTTTAATCAGAACGTTTTCTAACTACATCAAACCACAAAAAGAAAGTGGCATTGCTCGCGTCATAATGGGTGCAGTCGGCGAACAAATAGGAGTAAACGATACAAGATGGATGAATTGTGTCAACACGATCAATTTAAAATCTGCTATTTCGCATGAATATATAAAAAATTACATATCGCCTGAAACTATACAAGACGTAAGTTTACTACATTAAAAAATAGATACATACAATAAAATGAAATTAAATATATACATATAAATTAAAGTTAAATTTGAATTCAAACATCAAATTATTGTAGATCACAGAAATAAGTACGGATATTAAAAGTGTCGTTCATCAACAAATAAGAAACACTACATGGATGGATGAGCCTACAAGAGATGCTGCTCTCGAGAAACTCGAGTATATGAAGTATGATTTTATTAAGCCCGAATGGTTCAGCGACGAAGCTATTGACAGATATTACCAAGACGTAAGTACAGTTTTTAGAAGCAAAATATTTTTAAGATGTAGAACATTTTTATATTTTAATTATTTTTTCTTATTTTCGCGATAGAAGAAGAAGAGCACAAGTATCTTACACTTTTTGAATTTATTTATCTATTAACGAATTGTTACAAATCTTTACAAAAGCAGTTTTTAAAAAATTCTAATGTATTTTAGTTTAACGTCAGTACGGGATATCTCGAAACCATTATAAATATATTAAAATTCGAAAAGAAGAAAATGATGAACTTGCTGAGGACACCCGTAGACAAAAAACAGTATGAAAGTTTTGCTAGTCTTGTTTTCAATATATATATATATATATATATATAATGCTTTACTAATGCCACTATATATAAAAAAGTGGTATAATATATTAATTAAGAACTTCATAACCTGTAGTTTTGTTTAATAGATGGTTATTCGAACCGACAGAACTAGAAGGATACTACAGTCTGTTTTTCAATAAAATTGGTAAAAAATATGGATAATAATTTGTAATAAAATAATTTATAGAGTTTTTATTGTATTGTTAACTAATTTCGTTTTCTTTCTTGTGTAGTTTTCACTGCTGCTTTCTTACAAAATCCAGTATATGATAGAAATCGTGTTGCGTAAGTACTATTATGTATAAAATTTTGTGAAAAAATTTGTTTACTTTATAATAAATTTACAACAGATTAGTAAATTACGGGACGCTAGGAGTTCTTATTGGACATGAAATCAATCATGCTTACGATACTGACTGTAAGTAATTTTCTCTTATGATATCGAGAAGAAAAATTACATTACAACGTATTAAATACAGGTCGCAATTATGACAAAGATGGCACCAAAGTGGAATGGTGGACTCAAAAGACAAACAAAGAGTATGAAAATATAACGCAATGTTTTATTGACCACTACAACAAGTATCTGGTTCCAGGACAAGAACATGAGAATATTCAAGTGAGTAAATATTTAAAAAAGCATAAAAATGCGAACTAAAATTTACTTCACTTGTGAGTTATTTAGAAGAATCTCGTTACTCGAAATTAATTAATCTATAATTTTCCTATATTTCCTAAAGTATATACATATAAATTATTAATTGTTTTAGGTGAATGGACAACAGACGCTCGATGAGAACATGGTAGATTCTGCTGGAATTGTTGCTGCATATTACGCGTACAAGAACAGAAAAGCAAGACTGAATGAAACAGATTGGCGGCTGCAAGGACTGGAAGATTACAGCGAAGATCAAATCTTCTTCTTGACTTATGCTCAAGTAAGTATCTAATAAAAAATGTATAATGAGATATATGGAAACAACAGCCATCAAACAGTCGGCGCAAATACATAAACTACAGAAAATATTAATATCATCTCTTCTTTTAGTTTCTCTGCGAAAGTGCTTTGCCGGAACAAATACGAGAAGCAATTCTTTGGGACGTCCATTCTGTAAAAGAAATTAGGATTCGCGGTAGCTTTTCGAATTCTCGTGAATTCTCGAAAAGTTACAATTGCTCTTTGGGAACTCCAATGAATCCAGAGAAAAAATGTGCCCTTTGGTTCTAAACTAAAAGAAACGTAAACGACACATGCTTATAAATTTGTGAACGCGATATTACTTTTGTAGCAAACATTTTGTAAAATTTACGATCACTATATTTTTAGATATACTGAGATCTGTGAAACCGCATAACTTACGATAAAATAACGATTTTCTTGGGTTGAAACAAAATGTATAGTATTAAAAGCATAAATTTTGATATGTCTAGTATGATTTTGAACTAATTGTAAGTGCATAATGTTTACATTATTCTTGATCTATAAAAAAGAAAATTAATAATAATGCTGTAGGTTTGTTTGAGAGAGATAAACTATGACCTAATAAGATTAGTTAGTGTATTTCTCAGATCTCATTATGATATCTAGGCGTATGAATAACTGTAAATATTTAAAAGTAAAAATAAATTTTTACTTTTATTTATTTTTAGTTTTATACAATATATGTTTGTGAAAAAAGACATGTACACTAACATATTCCCGTATTTCTTTTACATGAATAAAACATTCCTCGAAATGTCGCACATTTATTCGAAACCGTTCCAAAATTCTGCACTGTTTGTAAGGTAAAAACTTTGAAGTTACTTTAACATTCAAAAGAATATAATTTAGTTTTTCCATTTCACTTTGTTAAAACTAACGTCTAAAATCTTTTGGACGCAGACACATATTCAAACACTCGCTCGTATGATAACATATTACGTATAACTATGTGAACTGCAATAAATTTATTTTTAATTGTTCTTACACCAGAAACAGACACTTTGCAATTTCAAAGACGATTGGAAATTGTCTTTTAAACAAAATAATCAGTCTTTTCCTAGTTTTGGTATGTTCCTAAGATATGAATTCTATAAAATTTTTGCGCAATGCGATGCGATTAAAGTGCTTTTCCTCGACGCATAAGAGATTATGTTGCATATTCGTCGATTCTGTGCGCAAAATACTTACTCGGTGAAAGTATATTGTTACTTAGTGACCAAGATCACCAGATTAATTGCCGAGTTGTCGTCTCGTTACCACTTGATATTGATTTATCGGTTCTAAAAGTAAGAGCCAATCCCATTCTATTGTTAGAAAGCAGCTTGTTCTGCTCAATGTGACTAACCAGTGACAATGTGCGCAAGCTTGTAAATTTTTATGTAGTACTGAAACAATGTTTGTTGCGCACTGAAAAAAATTTAACTTTAACATTGCAAGGAAAAAATAGAATATAATTTTTTTGTATTTTGTACATCGTGTACCACACATACTTATTTACAATTAATTTAAGAGAATACTTGTGTATCGCACTTTACATCCCACTACTAGAAACTACAGAGAAAAGCTAAGAATTATTTGAATGTGACTGTTTGTATAATTTCAGGTCGTTCACATGGCAAACACGAGCATGCCACGTGTTTTGATACAAACACATAGAGACGTTCTTTCGTTGCTCTAAACTTTTAACAGAATTAGTCAGTTCCAGGCAACCGCTCCGATCGTACGTAGGTACTGTGCTAACGATTTAACTTAGTTGAGACATTAAAACTGTTTAAGAGTTTACATATAACGTGTGTTTTAGATGATTTCGTCTCGAACCAATTGTACATATGACTATTTAAAAAAAAAGAAGAATATTATTTATTAACTCAAATCTAAAATCTCTCGTTGGATTAAGACACTTTATGTAGATATATGCGTAACACATGCGTCTAACGTACAAAGTTGAACAAGTTACGACGCATCACTTGGCATATATACATGAGTCTTAATTAAACTATCCAAGCTCAAAATATATGGTAATTTATGCT